AAGAGTTTAAAATCTATTATTTCTATACTTTTAACGTATCATTTAAAAATCTAATATTTTACGAGTTACTTGAAATTCGCAGTCGATTCTCAAATATTTCACCGTTATACTTTTACACATTTAATTGTCCAATTAAATTATTGAAACTCGCTAGAGCATAGTCAACTACTACTTTTCTATATTTCTTATACCTTCGGTTATGAGAATTTTCTCCTTTTTAAATTCTTACTTTCACCAATAACGAATACACACACGTTCCCTCTTTGTTTCATATAAAAATATCTATAATACACAATTTGAATTATTGGCGTTGCTTAACAAAATCTAAAATTGAAATAAAAGATACTAATATTGTATCAACATACATATACCATACTGATATACGTATATTACTCGGCTAGATTAATATTTTACACGCAGAATCGAATTTACGTATTTCACTTATTGTATACCGTAAATGTACTCGTGAAAGAAATTACATCTACGTTTCAAATACGTTCAGAAATTGGACATTGAGAACGGGCTGTATCTCAAAGTTTTCTCGATTTCTCGTGCAATGTCGTGTTAATAGAATTACAAGAGAATTACAGCCGCGTTATAAATTCGTGTCACACGATTACGATAATGTATATCAAAGTTGTATGCACAGAATGACAAATAGATAAGACCACCGCGCCGAGGTAATTGATATTTAACATGAGCACGAATCGAATGATAATACCAGCAGCTCGTGTGAAATCTCTTTCGTATCCGACATTAACTGTTTTAATGTCATTGAACTCCCGTACCACTACTCGCATGACGATCGGTGGAGTGAATGTCTTTAGAGCAGGATAAACGTTATGGTGGCTTGATGGAATTTATAGATTTAGTAACTTTGCAGAATGCGTAGTTTATTTTACATAGGGCTTAGGCTGGCATTAGATTTACAGAGTGGCTTAAAAAGATATTTGAATCTTTATCGTAGGATGATATTATGTAAATATTCACATCTACGTACGTAATTTATTTATTTTATTCCTCTTCCTTTGTTTCAGGGTAGGTACGTACGGAACATTTCGTAATTTCATTGACACTGTGCAATGATAGACGATTATAATTTGAAATCAATCTGAAAATGTATATAGGTAAACGTACAGTTAGCAAAAAATTAATATACAGCATGGGTAGTATTTTAAGCATTTGATAAGCATTTAATATGTATGGCTCTACTGAGCATAGAAGTTTATTGATACAATGGATTTAAATGTACAGTACTTTTGTTTTGGCTCGTACGAAATACATATGCTTGTATTAAAAATGTCTCGTAATTTTTATATATTTTATATTACTTCATATTCTTTGTATATTATTTTCAAATAAAATAATTTAATATATAAATATGAAAACGTATTTGTATATTTTCAGATTTGTTTCAAACTTGTACAATGTTAATGAAATTTCATTAACACACACAACTGTTTTTTATTATAACATACACAAAATATTCATACAGAATTCCCTGTCACATCCTATCATATGTCCCATAGAAAAAAAAAAAAAAAA